TCGCCTTTTCACACATTATATTGCATCACATCACGTGCGATGCATACTCCAACTTCGACATTCTGACGCACAGTTACGATGGCGGTTAGAGGAAGCGTCCATGGGAAACTCTCTATTCCATTTCCCATCACGACGTTCTCCATATTTGCGATCACAGATGACATCCAAAGTTTCGCTCATGGACTATTTCTAAAAACTATATGCTTACCTACTACGTGGCCGGTTTAGACGGATGGTGAGGGCCGAAAAGGCGTATGGGAGAAAGTCCGCCTTGGGGTGGCTATGTATTAGGTGACGCATCGAAAGAATAGCCAAAGCGGTCGAATTTGGAGAATAGAAACAAAACGATCGATAGAATAGGATGCAGTAGAAGTGTGAGATGTTCTTGCAATAAGTAAAAGGATCAGAAAGAGTTCTTAGCGACTTAACTCCGAGAACCAAGTGGATGCGCTACCAGCGCCAACATTTGTGACAGACAGATATACGGAGAATTTTAACAGGCTGACGCGCATGCGCGTCAGAACTATGTCATTCATTTTTATTGTGCTTGCGCTCCTTCTTCTCGAGTTTTTTGTATTCATTCTATAGATAATACATTAGCATAACTATAAACCACATGGCAGCCAGAGTGGTCAAATATCCTATGATTTAGCAAAGATTTCGCTTTCATCCTTGCCGAAATAATTCTATGAGATTCAAGTTTTTGTGCATTTTAAACAAAAAATAAGCGGAAGTAAGGTGAGGACGGCGCGCTCGCAAAATCGCTCCTGTCCCACGCGGTGCAAAATGCCAAAACACGCGATGTCGTCAACGTGTTAACGCGTGGCGACCCTTCTACCTTTCTAATAGTTTCTCAAAACGAACGCAATCTTTTGATTCTCATCTTAGAGTGTGGATCTGAAGCTAACAATTAACGAGGAACATGGAATGGTGCTGCTTCCGTGTTCCACATCGTACACCTTTCTTTTTTAGTTACCAGATTGGTCTCCCGACAACCGCCGGAAATTCCCTTCCCTGCGAACCTGGCATTCCTTCTCCCCATTCCCTCATCCTCCCCTCCTCCCTCCACTGCTCTCCGGCTGCCACTGCAGCACCTTGTGGAATGACCGAAGTGTGCTAAGTAGGTGTTTATATAGCCGTTCTGGTGTTATCACAATCATGCTCTGCAAAACATTGATAGCTCAAATCCTGCGAGCTACCCGATTTGTTAGCGGCTTGTTTATTCCACCAGCTCTTTCATTTTCATTTTGCGGACGGACACACATACAGACATACATGCGGACACACAAAGTTAGCGCTTTATAAAATAGAAGGATTTAGATCACGTCTCTGTTCGTGGTGAATAGGACGCGTGTAGAATAGCCAAGCTCGAGGTGCATTTCATGGGTTCATGAGCAAGCAGCATAACTCTAGGAGACCACACATTTCAGCAAGCAATGGAGACTACTCCTCGAAGTACCGAAATGAATACTCGAAATGAATCTTCGAACGTTTATTGGGGAACGTTCAATGCAATTTGTATACAAATGTCTCTGATATCATAGATTTTACGACTGAATAGCTTCCAATTCGGCGGGGAGCGGTGCTTTCGGATGACGGCTTTCAAAGTGCTGCTCGGCTTTCAAAGTGCTGCTTATAAGTTTTCGGATCAGGCATCTGTGCCATGCACACTGCGCATTTGTGATGCAATGCCTTCTGAGCAGCTCCGCGCTGGTCGCAGCCTTGGGACTTTCTCAATGCTTCAGCCTAGAACTCAGCACACATCACCAGACAAGTGCCGAAAGTACAAACCTTGAATCACCTTCTTCTGAGCCTTCTGTTGAGATTGAATCTTTTGATGACCACGTGCCATCGCAACAGTAGCTAAAAATGATTGATCTAACTCTGCGTACTTCGCTTGTCTTGATCTTCCTTGTAGTGCCCAACATATCATGTATCGAAAAGGAAAAACCGGTTGACTTCCCGGTGAACTGGGAAGTTGGATGACTACACAACCCCTCAAACAATGGCGTCAGCGGTACTCGATTAAGAAAACAACGGTTGCGCTGATTAACCTGATTAATTCATCACTTGAGATGCGCCCCGCCTTCGACTGCCGCTCAAAATTGCAAAGGAGTGTGTCCCACACCCAGTATAAACAGTGCCACACGGGCCGTTGAATGCTCAAGTTTTTTCTTCCTTTCTTTTACTAACTGTACCACAAGCTTGTACAGCTCCATGGCCCGCCAATCCCGAAAGGATGATAGAATTACCACAACAGAAACTGAATGATGATGAGAAGTGCGACGTCCCTACCATCACGATGGTCTCTCGACACTATCACTTCTTGCATAGATATTAGGAAGAACACGACACTTTCGAAGTCTAACAGCCATCTCTTCGGTGACGATTTTAGAAAGTTCATTTCGTTTTTCAAATCAACAATGAGGAAAACTTCTTCAGAATAGAGAATTAAGGTAAACAACAACAATTAAACAAAAGTTTTAAGTGAAATGTCAGCTTCAAGTGAAAAGTCGATGTTCTGAAAAAAAAAATAATTTACACCCAAAAGTGATTACAAAGCAACGAGCAAAAGCAATGAGCAAAGGATTGCAAAGAACAGTTGAAAAAAAAACTTCATCTACTTAATTTTACGTCTAAGAGAATCTGTTGCATTAGTACGAGCATTGTTGTAGTGTAAAAAATGAATGAGAGCATAGCATTAGTCCATACTACAATTAGCAACAAAAGAAACAAGAAGTGAGGTCAGTTATGATAATGATATTTATCACTTCGCATTCCTGTCAACAGTGAGCTATGTACATATAAGGATGGAAAAGAAATGTTAAAACATGCTATAGAAATACTGTTAATTTCAAGTTGTCGTTTGTACATAAGAGTTCAGAGATTTTTCTTCTAATGACGTATTTGCCTCCTTCAACTCGATGTTCAGAACGTCTAGTGCTGAACGTCCTGATTTGCTCATTCGAATGAATCTCAATTTGCATACGGGAGCGACTACTAGTGATCCACTCTCCGTCTTCTGAATACATTTTGATGAATAGAGATCAATAAAAGAAATTGAAGAAGCAGCTAACATGTGACGGTGAGAAGGCACGACGGGGACATCGACTCCTTTGGGAAGCACGACGAGCTGACGGAGACTGAGAACATTCGCTTCGTTGTTCGCAAGTTGACCGTCTTGTCGAGCGCATCACCTGAACCTTGAAAAGAGTAGCT